GTGTGTTAAATTTCACATACATTTCCCTCATTAGGATTAAAAATTCTGTATCAGTTTTTGTTTGTCCAGAAACTCTCTGAACTAAATCTGCAGTTATCCCTTCCTGCATTTAGTCCTGTGTAGATAATGCTAGTGAGAATCAACTTGGATCAGACCTGGCTAGATGTCTGATGGAAGCACACCTGTTTGTAGTTCTGCACAAAAGGTATAAGTACACTAGATGATCTTCATCAACGTCTGTTTGTAGATGGGAGGAGGAAGCTGGTGATTTTTAGGGTGCTTCTAACAATGAAATTTATTATCTGCTCTGAAGCAGATAGTAAACTGACTTCCTTGACTTTAAACACGAGATGTTGTTCAATAACTTTGTTTTTCACTTTTGTTATTACACTATTGTAGTTCTGAATTAAAAAACCCAAACCAACCAAACAAAAAACGTCAAAAAGCCACACCAAGAAAAAATGCTCAACAAAGCAAACCCAATGTAGAACCTGCTAGTATCTGACCCTTCTCCATGCTGATGTTTAATTTTTAGGCAGCTGCTGAATTGTCTAACTGAATAATTAGGGATGTTTCAGCCTTTTTGATGGCTGTTCATGAAGGGAGGGAATTTCTATGACATGTATCACGAAGAAGAGAAAAACGTTTTATAGCTGATTCTTTATTTCTAAGTCAATAAAATGTTACAGTATTCAGTATTTAACTCCCTCAGCCTTAAATAGGTTTTCATACAATGAAAGTGTGTTACTGAGTTTAAATTTATTTTGATGTTTGTTTCCTGTAGTAGATTGATAAACTAAGTAGTATAATTGTGGTGCCAAAAACTGTGGAGTTACAAACTGGTGTCATGTATCCTTACCCTGTTTATAAAAATAAAGTTTCTGTCTGTAGATTCCAGCAATGGAGCTTGAAAATTATAAAAATACCACAATATAAAAATCTTTGCTATCTCCTTCAGTGGCATTCATGATACTGGGCAAATAATAACAGTAAAAGTTATACTTCTGATTTTCTGCTTGTTATTATGAGTACTTAATTTCAACTAAGCAATAGAGGTAAGTTATTCAGGAGCTAAAACCCAAAAGACGTAGTACCTCTACCAAATTACTGTTGATCACTTAATGTGTTTGTGGGCACTGCAGAATACAAATGTATTACCCTGACTGACAGGAAGAATGAGCTGCAAGGATTTTCTGATTAGGAATTTCCAAGTGTGGTATATGAGCGTCTCATTTTTCTTTTGGTGTTTCCTAATTCATCATCATCACCATAATTACATTTTCACGCCAATAAAACTGTCAGTAAAAGAACCTTCATGGAAAAAGTCCCGTTTTTAGCCTGGGCTTAATTTAAAATACTAGGTCCTTTAAGAATAATAAAAAGAACATTGTGCTGACTTGTGCAGTTCTGCTCTCATTTAAGACTTGGTCCTTAGTCTGGTATTCAGCTTAACTGTAACTGCTATGACTGGGCAGGTGAGTGCTACCAGGCAACAGGTATGGTAGAAACTGTGGTGGATTATCTGATGTCCAACTCAGAAGTGGCCCTAAAAGCTGCCTTGGATGATCTTCCCCCCACCTTTTGTCATGAGTAAATTATGATCTGCCTTGCATTCTGGTTCCACTGCTGAGTGTAGGATTCGCCTTGGACCAATGTGTGAAAGATCATTCAAAGTAGAATTGGGCTCAACATTCAGAGGTGGAAGGGCCAGTTCAGCACAGATTTGGAATGGGCTATTTTATTATAGGCAGGTGAAGACAAACACTGATTAAGTTACCATGATCCCTCAGGCCTGAGTTCTGACATCTTGCAGCTTAGAGATTTTTTTTTTTATTTTTTTTAAATATGATTGAATGGTTAAAACTGAACACTGAGTCATAGAATCTAATGCCTTGGATGTATATTTGATGTGTTACTCATGTAAGACTTGTCAGTCTGTCTTAGAAGTGTAAGGGAGTGTGGAAGGTGGTGTTGAAGGTGGGAGAAAGAAAAGAATTAGCCCCAGTTCTTTCATAGTATGTCAGAGCCTGCCCCCTCTGTTTAACAATTTCGTCCTAATATTTCCTGCAGTTGTTACTGCCAGTTCAGCCCATGTAATTGGGTGGATGGTAGCTTGTATTTGGTTTTTCTTTTAAGCAACAGTTGCCTAACACTGGCTCTGTGAGCACTGTCATCAGCCCTACTGTGGGAGCTAAACTAATACCAATAGCTGTGGGAAACTTCTGAAAAAATTACAAGTGGAGTGGATGCAAAAAAATACTACAAGTAATAGTTTGGGAAAACACAGGGACTGGAAAAATCTAGGGTGAGATGAAAGAGGCATGAAAAAACCCAAGGCTCTTAGGTTTCCCACTTACATTGACACCCATGGAACAGTGACTGAAATAGTTTTATTTTAAAAGAGTATAGAATTGTTTTAGGATAGAAAAGATCTATTTGACAAGAAATGGAAGCAAAAACAAGGAATAAGTCCCTGTCAGATAAGTGTTTTGTTTTTATTCCTGGAGATTTGGGACTATCTTTATAATTCTCCAGTGATTGCTTTGCAAGCTTCTTGGAAGGAAACAAAGTAGTTGAAAGCTGAATCATAGACTGTTTTGAAAGAGAGAGGGAGCTTAACTTTTATGCAGAGAAATATGGAAGCCAAAATGATTTAGTTAGAGAGGGAAGATGGAACTGAAACCAGCATTTTAGGCTGTTTAATGAAATGCAGCTCTGAGAGCTGGAGGGAGAGGTACACACTAGCAAGTGCATGACATAACTACCAAGTTTGACTAAACGTTTGGAATAAGTAGTTTCTATGTGTTTTCTTGTATTACAAAACTGCATTTAATTTTTTTTTTCAGCTAAAGCAACTCATGTGACATAGCAAGATTCAAAAACCTGCAGTTTAAGCATTTCATAAATATACATGTTCCTGAATTAGGTATTTCCAATGAACGTACAAAGTATAAATGTGGATTTCGGACCCTAACTAAGACTCGAGAATCTCCTTTTGTGAATTTTATTGTCTGCCATAGAGGAATGATTCATGAATTCCCTCTTTTTTCTCACTGTCCTTTGTGAATTACAAAGTCACTTCTTTGCTGTGGTTCTTAACTGCTGTGTAGTTCATGAAAATAATTGATAAAGGCAAACATTTTTCCTAGAACTGTGGAGCCGAGTAGGACTCTGTAACTAAGCTTTGCTTACCTGTGGAAGATAGGTCAGTGTTTTTTATCAAATAGGAGGTACACATTTTGACACCAGATAAACAGAAGTTCCTAGTCTTCTGTTTCAGCTGTGTTTTCAATAGCTACTGCAGAGTGAGCTGTTAAGAGTAGCTGAAGATAAGATCAATAGTCATCAGTTCAAAGTTCAGAAGAAATCATTAATTTCAAGGGCAGAAACAGCTGAGTTTGTTAGCCACAGCTTTATGCCAGAAGCACTTTACTTGTACTGACAATCTTGCATCATAAGTGAAGTAGATAAGGCCAATTACCGAGTGCTGCATTTCCTCTCTGAGTCCATACAGTAGTTTGGCATGGCTGCCACTGAAAATATAAAGCTATTGTAGCATACATTTTAATTACACAAAATAGCCAGGTCTTTTCTTGTGATTTTTGGGCTAGGCAGATAGTGAAATGAGTTTTGTAAACATTTAAGTGTTTGAATTAAAGCAACTATTCAGTAATGAATTAATTTTTCATTAAGATTATGGAAAACATAAGTTTTTGCATCATTTTGCATGGACTCTACTTTCCTTTGGAATATGAGAAGAATTTTTGAATGAGGATTTGAATGAGTTCAGCCAGTTTTCAAGGCCAGTCAGACTTCTTAAGAAGTTATAGATAAAATCTCATGAAGTTCCCTCTGCCTTTTCCCTGTGTTTCAAACACAGGCTGAAGCTTCTGGTGCCTCTACTATGTTAAAAGTGTGCATAATCTCCCATTTCAATTTTTCCCCCTTTTCTGAGTATGTATTTCTGCATATGCTTGTAGAAAAACAAATGAAGAACTTTTACTCTCTGTGACTTTGGAAAATGTGGTTGAATGGAACCTGGGTTTAGAAGAAAATAATAGCTTATTGTTTGTGTCAATAGACCTAGCTCTGAATAGTGTGTTGCTGCTATGTGTAAGTCTGAAGTGATGATACTGAATGCATTTGAGGTATTACAGACAGAAGTTCAAAGTTTTTCCTTGTTTTTCAGTAGTCTGTCAGAGTTGTATGGCTTTTTTTTTCACTTACAAGTGTAAATTTATAATTAGAGGAAAATATGGAAAGAATAATATAGAAAATGGAACAATATATATATAATCTTAAGTAGGACAAACATTTTTTTTATATAGCATAAATGTTTTTTCCTTGTTGAAAAATGTGTGTGCATATGGTTCTCAACAGAAGAAATTTCTGTTATGTAGGTAAAATGTTTCCTTTTCAATTTCATGTAAATTCCTAGTGCTAGCAGACAAGTTACTTCATTATTTATGTAATTTTTTAGTGTTGTTTTAGGTATTTTAGCATATGTTTCTAAATGTTACTTGGAAAGCAAGTTTTAAAACTTCATCTGATGAATTATGAATGCAAAAGGAAGTAATAATCTTCTCAAATTTTCTAAGCAATTCTCATATAAAACTAGATGCAGCTAAGAGAGGAGAAGGTGAGCTTGGCTTTTCACAGCAAGTTCATGTGTTTGTTTAAACAAGCAGTGCTGTCATTTCTACTAAGAATTTCTGAAAGAATATAATAATCTCTTGAGATTGATGAATAGCAATAGATTAAATAATGAGTCTTGTGCTCAATAGGGTACCATTTAAATAGAGAAAATCTAATGGGAAGTAGCTACATTAGTAGCAGATGGATTTACTTCCTGAATCTTGATCTGAGTGGAAATCCTCGCTTACTTAAAATTTGTCTTCCAGATTCTTAGCCTGATAAGAAAGGTGGATAAAGCAGGTTTTTTTTTCTTGGCTTCGATGATGTGTTTTGTTTAAACTTGCTATTGTTTGATTTTTATCTAGGCTATTTTTATGATTCCTACAAATCCCCCTCCAACCTTCCGGAAGCCAGAACTCTGGTCTGATGAATTCACTGATTTTGTGAAGAAATGCTTAGTGAAAAATCCTGAACAAAGAGCTACAGCAACCCAGCTGCTACAGGTCAGTATTTAAGTTACTGAGGAAAGGCAGATTTTATGGCTTTTTTTTTTTTCCCCTCAAACCAGAACTGTTCTGAAAATTTCTAAGGGCAAATTTTATTTTAACTGTTATCATACCTTATTTCTTTTCCACTTTGTGGTCTTTTCACTGTCAGCTCCTGTATCTCTACCCCCATGTTATTTCTTCTTTGCTGCTTCTAAAAATTCATTGCTCTTCATATAGTTTAGGGCTGATCCTTGCTATTAAAATTGGACCCTTGCTTTGTGTTTAGAGGCCCTCAATAGATCTCAGAATTTAGACAAGTGTTAAGTAAAAGAATTGAGCCCAGGTTACCCTCTGTGTGGACCACCCATGGAGTATATTTAATCTTTCCTTCTGGTCATGTCAAATCAAGCAGACAGGTTGCTCTGTGTCCTAGAAGGGTCTGATGCAAATGGACAGTATAATGAGTTTGGTTTTGAGCTGAGTTATACCAGGTGGGCACTTTTAAATGTGAGACACAATTGGCAGTGTGGACCTTTGGAGCCAAGGCACAATATACCAGGCTTTTTCTTGCTCTAAGGCTCTCATGCTAGATTTATTCTGTGTTGACCTGGCAATAGCAGCTTTTAAAATTTAAATTCCAGTGAACTCCACTAACAAAGATGAACATAAAAATTTTGCAAAGTATTTTTTGGTAATAAATCCATCAAATTCATAAGTCATGTTATGAATATTTAATTTTATACACTGCAAAACACCAAAAGGTAGACTACAGGTAAGTAAAATTGATAGATTTCTGTGTGATGTATGAATCAGTACTTGAGACCTTCAAGATTTGAAGTTCATTTAGTTAGCTTAATACCAGCAGCTGGATAGAAGAGATTTGCATTAATGTGTGCAAGTAAGGAGGAACAAATGGAAAAAAGCTTCAGTGTGCAGTTTCTTTCCACATACTTACTGACTAGAAAACTGAATGTTATGTGCATCACAAGTACGTGTTGCCTTTTTCCACAGCTGGAATTTGGAGCATGTGTGATAGAGCTGGAGGTGCTGTATGAGTGAGTGGGAATGGAAGTACTGTTTGTAGGGAAAGGTCATGGAAGAAAAGGAGAGTAACTGAATTAATAAATCAAGGGAGATGAGAGATAGTAGGTACAGGATACAAGGCTTCATCAATTCTGTTCTTCATAGAATAATTTTTTGATACTTAATGATATATTTCTGAGGTGCTTAGTTATGTTTTGCCTAAATTGTATTTGCATATAATGATATAAAATCAGATTTTTTTCTAACAGCAGATGTTTATTAGACAGCAAAATGAATGTAAATGGCATCATGCACATGTTGTCTTAAAGGAAGAAGTGATTGTTTTAAATGGTTTTGAATTAAAAATTAATCTTCCTACTAAAAGTAAGGTTCCACATTTCAGCATTGTAGATCAAGAAATATTTTATGACATATAAAGTGTAGGTTTATTTAAGTGAGCAGCCGTAGTTGCTCTGCTTAGAGCCACTAATTTATGCTGTTTGTTAAGATTAATTAAATTCTGTAACAGAATATCTGAAAAACTTTCTGAGATCATCACCATTCTATCTACTTACTATTTACTGCACATTTCCCTTAAAAAATTATATCCTTAATTATAAAACATTTGTTAAATTATTGTATTTCCCAAGTCTTGCAGTAATTAAAAATAGTTAAAGTAAAATTTTAGTTATGAAATAGCTAAAATATATTGTATGTTGTGTTTGTATAAATTTTAATTATTGTGTAAAGTACGTTACTGTTTATCTCTGAAGTCTGTGGTGTTGAATAGTACTCACAACTACTGTAATCATATTACATATTTTAATGATTTTTTTTTCCCTAGCATACATTTATTAAGAATGCTAAGCCAGTTTCAATTTTAAGGGACCTGATAACTGAAGCTATGGAGATAAAGGCAAAGCGACATGAGGAACAGCAGAGAGAACTAGAAGAGGAGGAAGAAAATTCGGTGTGTACCTGTTTTCCTGTAACTATCTGTACTTTACAGATTAGTTGCTGTTTTTCCTCTACTTCCTGTAGTTGTGTTCAAATACTTTTCTTTACCAGTTTTCTATGTGGTTTTAAGCCTACAAATTCTGAGTATTCCACTCTTAATTATAAGTAATGCTCCTACTGTGAGTAATGCCTATGAGCCAGCTTTCAGCACTATGCCATGAGATGTCCTAGTAAAAAGTTTTTTTTGGGGAGTGAGAAAAGAAACCATGTCAAACTTCAACTGTTCAAGCTAACATTAAAAAAACCCCAAAAACTCTTAAGGTTCCACTTTCACAGGTGGAATTCTAGACAAGTGGTTTAGTTTTTACTTCAGGGCACATGTGGTTTTTTTTCTTTGTTTGTGTGTTCTTTTGGTTTTTTGGAGGTTGGTTTTGTTTGTTTTGGGTTTTTGTTTGTTTTTTTTTTTTAAGTCTAATGCACAGACCAGTTAGTCACAACACGCAGTGAGTAGCAATTGCGATGTGGTTTGAATCAAGTTGCGCCTATGATGTGAAAATGCTGAGAGAATTTCATTCTTCAGTTGTCAGCATATGTTTGAGGAGAGAAGCAGGTCATGTGATATGTAGGTTGCATTTAGAATTGTTTGGCAATGTTAGGAATAAGTCCGTGTTCCTGGCATTATTACTCTTCCTACGTGGTTTCTTTCAGGGCAGCCTTGTGCAATGCAGCAGTATGTGCTTCAAAGAAGTGTATTACCACACATACAGCGAGAACCAAGGTCATTCAGGAAATAGCACACGGAGAAGATGGAGACTGGAATGTTAGTAGAAAACTTACAGCTTTGAGCAAACAGAAAAGAGCAGTGCAGTAATGCAGTTTGCCCTATAGCAAATTGTAGAATCCTTGTTGCAGAGTGCTATGTGATGATCTATATATAGAAATACTTTTCGTGCAGATTCTGTGGAGTGTTTTATATCTCCAGCAGTCAGTGTGGTCTTTTGTTTGCTGCATGTTTCTCTCTAAAAGTTTGGTTTGCTCTTAAAAATAAGAGCAGTTGTAGTATATGGAAATACTTATTTTTAGTACAAAAGGTGAGGGTACAAGTGAATGAAACAAAGAATACTAATGGTGAGGTGAGGAGGAGGGATTTCCTAGTTGACAAATACAGTTTGTCGAAACTCCATGTTTGGGAGTGACCTGTGAATAGCTTTCATGTGTCACAGTGCAGAACAAATCTTGTTTTGGACTGGTTTTAGTAATTGTTTGATTGTAGTACAGACTTCCTGTGTCTTGCAACTGAGTTCCAATGCAGTACACTGTTGTAAGAAATTGCAGATTCAATTGAGAGATGACACCAGAATCTTGTCCAGCTGCTGTCACTGAAGGTTCTGATCAGCTAAATGTGCAAAAGCAGCCAAACTAGGAAACAGCAGCATAAACTTGTACCAGTACCCATGGGGGACCTACAAGAGTGGTAGGCCAGGTTGGATGGGGCTTTGAGCAGCCTGGTCTAGTGGAAGATGTCCCTGCCCGTGGCAGGGGGCTTGGAACTACATGATCTTTAAGGTCCCTTCCAATCCAAACCATTCTATGATTTCTTGAAACTGTTACCATTTTCTTTTTAACCAGAGAAGTTTTCTGTAACATGTTTCTTGAATGCATGTTGATCATGTACTACATAGTAGAAAACTCCCGAGCAACATTTAGATGTGAGTGAAACCTGAAGTAACTGGAATCTAATCTCAGTTTGTAATTTTAGAAAAACAAAAAATCAATTCCCCCAGGGCCTCTACTTCAATTTGAAATAATACATGATTTGAAAATAAGCACAAAGATTGTGTCTTTCATTTAATTTGGAACTTGTTTGTGGAACTGACAGAAAAAGAGCAAACCAGTTCTTTCCGGGCTTCTGAGTGTTTATTCTTTCCTTTCTGGAAAGGTAAGGCAGCTAATATGAGTGCCAGCTTGGTATACTTGGTGTACAGTTTGGTAGTGGATCAAGTCAGCAGTCCATCATTCAAGTATAAAGATAAATAACCATTGCACATTCGTCCTTCTTATGAATCAGTTTCACAGAACCCTGAAGAAATACAGGGCTGCTTGTGTGTAGTTTGCATGACTACACAATTATGCAGTTCCAACGATAATATGGATTTTGATAAACCTGTAGTGATGGCAGCAGTCCTAGAAAGAGCTAGTGACAGTCCCTGAATTACCTTGTGTAGTAGTATTTTCAGATTGTGTATGGAATTGGAGTCACTGTTCAGTTGGAAAGTATTAGCCACCCAGCACATAAATTTTGGAAAATAACACCTCAAAAATGGATTTTTTTCCCATTGATATCTCTGTGAAGTCCTCGTCATAGAATTGCAAAGGCAGACTCAAACTTGGAGAAATGCATATTTAACACCTAAAAGCAAGAGCAAGTAGTGATGTTAGTGTTAAGTAGAGTCTATTAATGTTAAAGATCTCTCATCAGCAGTGAATTGAGTTAATATACTATTGAAAAAGAATGGCTTCAGCTAACCTGTCAGGGACTTGAATTTATTAAATTTATTGATCTAACCCCCCAAAGAATTTCCTATGGTAAAGTGTGAGCAGTTCTGCTCATTGCTCACTGGTACATGATTTGGGACCCATTAAAAAGAAAGGTATAAAATGTTATAACTATGAAGTTTATTACATTAGGAAACCAGGTTTAACCTTAACAGTTACATTTGAATAAGATTTTTTAGCTTTAATTCCTTCTTAAAGCCATATATTGTATAGTAATGGGCACTCGAGTTTAAAGTAACTCGCATAACTCCAAGAGGAGTTGGGTGGTTTTGGAGAATTAATCAGATGCAAAAATTTCACAATAATATACTTAATTTTTAGGGTTGATCCAGGTTGTTTTCTTTCAAGTGAGGAAGAGTCACATCCCCAAAGCTGATTCTTATTTTTCTTTTTTACCACCATCTGTGAACATTTTACAGCATGTGAAGTTGCCAATTGTAATGTAAATATTTTTTGCTGTTCAAAACTTCATACTATCTGGCTGTAAATAAATGGATACAGTCTTCATGTCTGTATCCTTCCAGGGAGATACAATATCATTACAAATAATGTACTCAGAATTGATTTTATGCTTGTTACAAGAGCTGCTTGTGTGATGAGAATGCCTTCTGACAAACTGACATGTTTTGATAACTGCTGAGGTAGTTGTACAGATTTTTTTAATTAAGCAAGAATTGCAATTGGTGTGTTCTACAGAAGGTTAATCCCAATATCAAAGTTTAAATGTTAGTTTAGGCATTACTAAACATGACCAATCTCTTTTCTCCTGCATTTTCTGAAGTGTGATGTGAGTTGGATGCTGAGGCTGGGCAGCTGTATTATGGGAATGTAAAGTAACTCGTTGCCTGGCAGCTCACAGAAAACATATCTAAATATTTGTTTCTGTGGATCTTTAAAGGAATGAGCTAACAAGCAGCTCTCTGTATATTTTCTTTTACATTTTAATGTCTCTATTATGTGAGAAATGCTTAATTCTTTTAGAATATTAAAACAAGGACTTCCTACTTTAGTAATCCTTTGTTTTTTCTTGGACACTGAGTGCTTGACAACTATCAACACCAAGCCAGCCATTGATAATCACTTGTTCCTATATGTGGGATTATTTACTCATTCATACAAAAGTTTATTTGGTTAATCCAATATTAATTATGAAAAGTTGGCATCTGTATTTTGAGACCTCAAGAAATAATTACTGTAATTATTCCTTCATATTTTAACAATATTTATGTAGCTGTATTAAAGGAACTAGTGAATCATGAGTTATTCCATATCTTAAAGCTTATACACCATGCCGTATTTTTCTGAAGGTTTTTGTATTTGCTTTCATGCTTCCTTCATGTGTTCAGATGTGTATATGATATAGCTGTGTATCTGTCTGTATATATGTGTAACTTTGCATGGCAGTGTTAAAACTCTGGGCTTGTAGCATTTTTCCTTTAAGCCGAAGAACACTTGACATATGTATTAATTAAATTTGATTGCAGTCCTTTAAGTGTCTCAAAGTTAGAAATAGGTAAAGATGGCTTTGTTGAGTAAAATAAAGCATATTATTAAAATCCATGGCAGTGCAGAGCGAGAAACCTGTTACAGGAAGAGTACACATCGGGAGGTAAGAATGCGCGGCAAGTCATTGATACTCAGGGTATCGGTCAGATAAAAAAAAGCTTAACTGCTGTTTTGTGTCATATGTCTATTGAATTTGATGGGATTTGACTGTGGGCTGAAAGTTAAGTTTTTACCTGTTTTACTGATGGATCTAAGCTTTGTGTGCTCACGTTGGAGTTTGGCTTGGTATGTGTCAGGAGCTTTACAAAATCCTTGTGCTTGACCAAATTATATTATGTGTTTATGTAGCTACTACAGTGCTTTAAAAAAAGATAGCTGTGACTACAGCCACGTTTTTCAAAGGTGATGATGAGGTGTTAATAGTAAATGAAATTATTTTACAGGATACTAAATTTTGCCAGTGTGTAAATCTTCTTTTAATGCCTTGCAGCCGAGTTGGCCGTCTTTGCTGCCCTCTAGTGTTCTTTTTACATGCCAAACTTAGGGCGAGAGATTTTAAAGGCAAATTACTGCCATATTTCCTTCTCGTTTAGTTTTTTCTTTATCCGTCTTTATCCCTTTTTTCCTATCAGTGTTCAAAATGCAACAGAAAAATCCATTAATCTTTATCACCTTGGCTCGTTCACTTCCATCGTGATGTAGACTTGGGTATGATGTGCAAGGCCAATTTCTCTGAGAAAACTTCTTGTGTGATGATGAGATCTTTTATTTTACAAATATGTTGTGGAGTCTTGAGTGTGGTTTCTACTGAAGTCTTTCTGAATTTTATATTCTGATAATCAAATCTCTATGATTGCAGTTTTGTGCTTCAAAGGTTGGTTTTGTTAATTATGACATTTTTGGTAAATAGGAATATCCAGAGAGTTAGTCCTATAGAGTTACAGGATACTGGGAGTGTTTTACTTGTGCTTTGCATTATGATGTTGTTCAGAGTTTCTGTAGTTTCTTGTAATTTTTGTAGCATTTCAAGAGATTTTAGAGTTCTTGCTCATGCGTGCCTTCTGTTGCTGTATAGTGGTGTAATGGAAACCCTCCCATATACAAGCTTGGTGCTTATTATTTGTACACAGGAGAACAGCAGGCAGTTTAATTCCAGAGTTAACTGTTTATATTGTTTGATTCTTGAATCTGTTTTCATAAACAGTGTGAGAACACGACATTTCATCTCTAATACCTTATTTTTTTTTCCTGGTTAAAATTGAGATTGTTTGTTTTTATTTAATCAGGGAGTTTACCTTTCTTTAACAACAGATCAGAAGTTCTACTTCAATATTTATGAAGTGTAAAGCATGAGTCAGAATTTGTATGAAGGAATCACTTTCATCTCTCATATAAATATGCACTTCCATAACTTGGATTCACTGGATATTTTTATAAAGTTACTTTTTCAGATCCAGTATAATCTATTGCCATATTAGCTAAATATCATATTTGTGAGAAATACTGGAAAGACATTTATGGGAAAAGTCTGTGCTAACCCACAAAATTAATTATTCTGGAACATGCCCAGGACACAAAAAAGTTTTATATTGTTCTGTCTCGGTACATCATTCCTGAACTAGGGAAAACACCATTCATCAAAATTGTTGTGTTCTTCCCTTCAGTTGTTCTAACAGAACAACTGTTCTGTTAGTACTGAGGAGGCCTTTTGTGATCCTTAGTCTTCTAGGTACTAAGAGATAACTGTTCTCTATGCTGAGAGACAAGAGTGAGGTGAAGGCTTTTGACACTCTTAGACTGGAAAACAAATGCTATTCTTTGAAACAAGTCCAGATACTTGATTTGACTGAAGAAATGAAATGAAAGATCAATTTTTTTTAATGAATCAGAAGTTATGAAAATGGTCACTTAGGACTGCATTTCATACCTGTTCATATTGTTAGCCATTGCTTTTTTCCCCACTTCTAAAATGAAACTTTTGAGCTTCAGGAAAATGTTTGCTTAATTTCTGATTTCAGTTTAGATAGGCTTAGGACCATATGCACTGCAAATGGATATTAATTTTAGTCAAGCAGATCTGCAAATCGAGTGTCACTATGCCTTAAACTCAGAGATTTACCTACCTGTATGTTAGAGATGCCACATTTGTAGTGCTTAATAGGAGAAACAGCAATATGTAGTGAGTCAGGTTTGCATTGTATTGCACTACTGAAAGAAGCACTTGGAAACAGTAGCTTAAGTGTTCCGGCACTTTTAAAATGCAACCCAAAACCACTTTATTTTCTGAGTACCCTTTTTAGAAGGAGAAAAATATAATTCACAGAAAACACGGGTTAACAAGAACATTTGGTGCGGGGAATAAAGAAAATTAAAGTTACCACCAGGAGGAGCAGTACCAAAATATTCTTTTTAACTGGTACAGTTGGCAAGTGCTGTAGCTGTAAGCTAACTGTATCTTTGGGGATATTGTAATTTTTTTTAAGGATAGGGTACTAAATAGAATGCAAGTAAAAAAAAAAAACCAGAAAGAATGCAAATGAAGAACTTCAAGATTTTAACAAATTATAGTCTGGAAAATTATGAGTCTTTTGATGTTTGGAATTTTAATCACAGATGTAGGTCTGTATCCTGGTTTCATTATGGTATGCTGTTAGCCAGATTTTCTGAATCAAAATTAAATCTATTTTTGTGTCTTCTAGTTGAGATGTAATAGAATAAATTTCAGGAGCTGGTGTATTGGTATTACTGCTCACTACAATTCACTGTGTCTGCTTAGATCAACCCTTAGTGAAAGAGGTTGTCTGGCAATGGAGCTGCTTGTGTTTAGGTGCCTATAAGAGAGGCAAGTTGTCTGCCGTGTCGGGGAATAAGGAGAAAGGAAAAGAAGGAGTTCAGTGAAAAATAGAAAGTGCCAGACCTTGCAGACATTTGAGTCTTAGGTTTAATTCTTCTGTCTCCCCCAGCCCATGCCCTTATAAATCTCTTCATAGTTAAAAATTTAAAATCTATAAAGCAACACAAAGATTTAGGAAAAAGGGGAATTTTTCTTTTCCAACCTAAACAGTTTTATGAATCTATGTTGCAACAAGCATGTTGTTTGTAATGGGCAAATTAAAAATCCCCACAGTGTTATCCAATAGTCTTTCAAGCTATGTAGCGAAAATATTTTGCTAATCGGAGATAGAGTTCATTTGAAAAGGAACTCAAAGTTTTGACACAATAGAGAAAATGCATGCATATATGGTTATAAAACTGGTGAAAGTAGCATTTGTATTTAAAATTTAACAATTTGACATAGAATAATTTTGACATAGAGTAACAGTGATGTGTGTTATTTCTTACGTGTAATCAACAAAGGAGAATGTCTAAATTTTTTTTTCCTTGAGTAATAGATGTTACTCATATAGCAATAGTCACAGTCCATCACGTTACTCCTGAAATGCTGTGATGTGTGTATAAAACTGATTTTGGAAAGCAGTGGGATTTTCCCTTAGTGTTTTCAAAACACATGAATTTTATGTATCATTAACTGGCTTGTCATTAGTTCTGTTTCACGTACCTGGGCCATTACTGTTACCAATTCAAGATGCTACCATGTATCTTCATGGTATTATCTACCCACCCACTTAGTGGGTAAGTGTGTGTTGGACGGGTATTTTTATACATAGTATTAATAAGTTATTTACTCACTCTTGTAATAGAGATTTTAAAAGGGAACTGAATACTTGAAGTAAGTCTAGTTGATTTTCTGTTTCTGAGGAGGACTTCAGAAACTCAGAGGATTGTTTAATCGCTAAATTGAACAAGATCCTGTCATTGGCCACTGTGTGTAATGTCAGATGCTGGGCATGATACTTAGTTAAGGGTGGTCAGCACAAATCCTTATGACAGTCCCCTGTAAAACAACCAAATAGCTTTCTGTAAATTGTGGTACTGATTTTTGGAACCCAGAGAGGTAAAATGGGTCATGAAAATCACAGAGATGCTTAGAACTGGACGCTGATGCAAAGTGGGTGTGTGGGCCACGTTATACTCACCCTGTCATGCATCTGGGAGGAAGAAGAAAGTTTTTATTTTTCCTTTTTGTGGAACTTTTTTTTTTTGTTGTTTCCTTTAAAGCTCTAAACCTGAAAGTCTAGCAGTACAACTAGGTCACCTAAAGATATAAAACTAATCAATAAGGATCTAAGTGATTGCATGTTAACTTCTTTATTTTAAATGATCTTCTGCATTCTGGCAAACGTTTCTCCGTAGGATGAAGATGAGTTGGACTCTCACACTATGGTAAAGACCAACTCAGAGAGTGCTGGTACCATGAGAGCCACAAGTACGATGAGTGAAGGCGCCCAGACAATGATTGAACACAACAGCACTATGTTAGAATCAGACCTGGGGACCATGGTAATAAATAGCGATGATGATGAAGAGGAAGATGGGACCATGAAACGTATGTTGCCAATTTGCTTTCTTCTAATAATGTCATATGTTTTCTCATGCTGCACAACAATATTGTATCCTCAGTGGCTTTGAAGTGTAAAGTTCTGTGGTTAAAACAGCAGGAGAGGTGTATTTGTGTTTCTAAGCACTCTCTATAGTTTGCCCCTTTCTCTGGAGGACTATCAAATTGGCCTTCTGTGAATTGTCCCTTTTACTGTTTGTGTCTTGCTTTTTGTTTCTGGTCCCCCATTTGGACCAGTTCCTTGGAGCTAAACTGAAGGGATGTGATTGAGAGGCTGCTGTTTCAATGCCAGTGGTCCCGGGAACACATCGTGACTCTCCATGGGGTCAGCAATCAGTAATATATCTTGCTGCAAAATGGTTTTGTAAGTCATGATCAATTAGCAAATTTGTATTTTATAAGCGAGTTATTATTCAGACATTCATTGGAATGTAATTTAATAATCCTTGGTTTAAGTCAATGATCAAAAGATTGTTGAAACCTAGGTAAAAAGTTCTAATTGACTTGGTGGCCTGTGAGGGAGTACGTAACAGAATAAAAAAAATTGTAAATGTTTTTATGTATAAAATTATAACTAATACTGAAATATTCATAAATACTTATGTACTGATGTGGTCATTATTTGGTTGAGGACTACTGCAGATTGAGACCCACTGAATTTAATAGAATTATTTGCTTGAATGGGCAGCATCAATAGATGAATCTAACTCAGGCTGTAGCTGCCTGAATTTATGAGGCACAATGTAATGTTTAACTCCAGGCTATTGTCTGGGGGGGTGGGGAGTTGTGTTTGTGTGTGTAATATAGTAAGGTAATGCCTCAAGAGTGAAAATCAGTGCCAAATAAAGAACTTTGTAGAATGTCTTATAGCAAACATAAAGCTGCATTTGTGTTTGCATATAGACACCTGATGTGATTTGTGCAAAATTAGTTGGAAGTGCAAAGCAGGATTTTATTTTGTTTTAGTGTACAGCAAGTTTGAAAGAAAAAGAGGTTTTGTTGATTTTGTTTGTTTAGGTTTTATGTGGTTTTGTTTTGGTTTTTCTTTTGTTTTTCCTTAGTGTTCTCAGCAATAAGATAGCACACATGCCTCTTGATTAGTAATTAGTTTAAGTATGATGATTCACCTAATGAAAAGACTCTATGTGCTTTAGTTTGTTTTCATGCTGAAACAGAATATTTGCCTGTTAGACCGTGTGCCTGATGGAGGGTTAATACAAGTGATCTCAAACCCATCAGTTTCCACAAGCTGAGGGAAAGATGAGTGATTAAAAAAAAAAAGGGAAAGATAGTACCAACAAATTTGGAGTAAAGTAATTCTTAGGGTGGAAGTATCATGAATTAAGGTTCAGTACAGTTTCTGTGGTGCTTGATAAATCACTTCAGGCTTCATAAGTAAGTTCTATATAAGTAGGGTACCAAATTGCACTACACTATCCATGTAGTATTTATATATGCTGAGAGAAAATACCTGTCACTGTGCCAAACAGATCAAAAAAGCGTCATTAGTTTTGCACTGCAGTCTCTTATCTGTGTCCTATTTGTCTGCTATGTTGCTGGAGACATTGCTTTTAAACTGCACTGTTATTTTCAATGCTGAATTGATTCCAGTTATAATCTGTAGCTAGAAAGGGAATTACCTTTTTACACCTTGACATTTGGCCAGTATATTTCTTAATCCCATTCTCCTTTCTTGTCAAACAAGAATATATAATTTTTGGGACAGCGGGTTTTCTTCCCCTCCCTCTTCTCCCATAGATGACTGTCTAGAGCCCCATAACTCCAGCAAAGCAAAGCCAGCAAACTGGAAGTAACCTAATGGGAAGCGATGGTTTCATCATTCAGCTGTCAGGCAGCAAGTTTGGTTTCAGCACTTACTTGCTAGAATTTCTTGTATTTTGCATTAGGCACCTCTTATTTGCATTTTTTACATTAAAAACTAGAAATCATTCAGGAACAGGACCTTCACATCTCTCAGCTAAAAATAAGTCATGTCCACCGTAGCTGGTCCTTTGGTTCTGTGATTGTCATGCTTTTGGCTGAAACAGGAGGAGTAACAAGGGTCCTAAATAAATGTTAGTAGGAAGGGACATAAAAATCTTTGTTGTCCCTGAGAGGCAGGCTTTGTGCTTCTTTGTACTCGACTTTGGAGATTGTTTGCTGTTTCCAGTGTACCTTTATAGGCAAAGTAGGCACTTTCTAGATATTTGTGTGATTTGATTATAATAAATCAGAACAAGTAGCTTGAAAGTGCTCTTTGATACTTCTGAATAATAGAACATTGCAGGCAAGAATCTTGGAGAAATAAACTTAGTAAACTAGGGAAGAGGGATTTCATTTCCTTCCTAGAGACACAAAATATTTGTGACAAACTTTTTATTTAATTGCTGTTGTGTTTAGTTTCATGTTTTGTTTCCTTCTGCCTTTTGTTTCCCCGCTCAAGGACAAAATAAGAAACAATAATATGTTTTTATTTATAAGTACCCATGCTTAGAGGCCTCTGGGAGCCATGACAGAAAATAACTAAAACCATATTTTTTTCACAAACGGGGAATTGTGCCCAGATAAAATTGGGATTTGGAACAAAAAGAGGCCTATCATCCTACCCCAACATACATTATACAATCTACCAATAAAAAACATTTATACTATCTTGCTCAGTATGCCCTGTGCATGCTCTGAACAGAGACTATGGTGTGTACCTGGAAGAAGGGAAGAAAATGCAGAACACAGAGAGATGGAAGGATAGAACTTAACTTTAGGAGGTTTAATGTGGAGTAAAGAAAGAGTGAGAATGATGGAAATATTACTTTTTTTGTTCAGTTGCCTGGGTTGTACTTATTTTTGTGTAGAAGCTTTTTCATATGTCAGTGCAGAGACCAGTGTTCAGACCAGCTTTCCCACATTCCCTTTGTGGTTTTTTGGCAAGGCTTAGTGTTAGGGCTTTCTGCTGCACCAAGAATACTTCCGATTGTTCTCTTTTCTCCTTTTCAGTAGCATTTCCCCCGCTTCTCTTTTTTTCCCTGTTAAATTTATATTTGCCATCTATTTGGGCTGGAAAGCAAGTTGTCTCTTAGTGCCATTTGGATTTATTCTGGGTTTCTAAATGTTGCTTCAAATTCGGTGAAGCTTCTAGATAGTTCATGGCTGGTAGTGAATGTGTTAAAAGATGAGAACAGTGAACTAAATGAGGTGGCATTTGACAGCTAGAGTGTAGAAAAGTGCTCAGGTTTTTGTTTTGTTACTTTTTGGCCTGTAAGATGTGAATATTTTAGGTTTAGTCAGCATAATTCTCAAACATGTTTTCCTTCTTATCAAACAGAAGAATATAATCTTTGGGACAGCAGGTTTCTGTCCTCTCCCTCATCCTACATAGGTGACTGTCTTGAGCCCCATACCTCCAGCAAAGCAAAGCCAGCAAACTGGAGGTAGTCTGAGGAGAAGTGATGGTTTCATCATTCAGCTGTCAGGCAACAGGTTTGGTTCCAGCACTTATTTGGTGAACTTTCTTGTTTTATTGTATAATGATATTTTTGATTACAGTGGGATAGGCACCATACTGTAGAACCTACATGTTGATAAGAAAAATTAATGGGTTGGTTTATTCATTATTTTTTAGTGATTTCAGCATCCAGTGTAAGGGATTATGTGATGCTGCAAGTCAGTCTCCTCTGTGATGTGAGGTGGATGCTTAGATAGCTCTGGATTAATGCTTCAAAACTCTTAGAAAGGCCTAAGTCCTACAGCTCTTTTTACAACTGAAAAGCAAAAGCTAGTGATACGTGTTTTATGACAATGTAGGACCTAAGTCCAGTAGGAATTCAGCAAGGAAATTTAATTATGGGCTGGTTTTAATGGGGCTGTAGCCTGGACACTGATGTTTCACTGATGTAGTTTTGTTCAAGAGTTTTAATGTGCCCACGGTAAGATGGTTTGCTTGATGCCATGTGGAGCAGTACTAGTGCTTTACTCCTCTATATGTATATAGAGAGAGATGATAGATGTTTACAAGCCTATTTCACTCCTCAAGCCCCCTCCTGTGATGGTAATAAAGTTGTTCATTTATACTACTACTACTAGTAATATATTTAAAAAATGGTTGTTTTTTTTTTAAGTAATGATGTTAACAGTTCTGCTTTAAGAGCTGTTACAAAATGCTAGTTTAACATGGATTTTCTTTGTTTTGCTGAAAGCAGAAATAAAGTATAACTCATCTGGAATGGACTAATGGGTTTATAATAGTAATGTCATTGAACATTTTTTTCTTCGGAAGTTGGAAAAATAGAACAAAAGTTATTAAACCACTTTTACAAGTCTTATTCTCAAGAAGCAAAGCAATGAAACTTTTCCTCATGAAAAATTGTTTAAACTTGAGTTCACAGTCCTTCAAAAAGTCTCTGAAGGCTTCAGCTGTTTGAGTGTGGATTTTCTGTTTAAATGGCAGTTGCAGTTATTTCTGATAAATATGTATATTATAAAACAAACAAACAAAAGACTGCATGAAGCCTGATATTGAATGAAGACTTGGGTGTATAAGTCACTGTGATATGAAAACAGTGAACTCAGTAACCACTTTGTTACATAGCTCTCTGTCCTCAAACATTTCTTAGATCCATCCTTTGATAGATTCCCAGCTGCTATGGCCTAAGGAATTGGGGATCCAGTTTCTGCTGATGCTTCCTTGCAGTTCTGAGTAGGCTGACCTCTAATTCTCTGAGGTTATTGTCTAATAGGCATGTGTTAGCAGCAGAACTTGCCCGTTCATAAAATACAGTCACAATTTTCTGCTAAAAATTTGGCTGAAGGAGGTGGCTGTGGCAGCTTTTACATGGTAATTCACTGTTAGGTGCATTTGACTGGAGATTGAGGTCAAAATTCTAGGCTTCTGTCTCCCATTTCCCAGGAGAATTACTGCTCTGTTGTAGGCCAACTTGTGTGGTGAGAGAGAAGTGGTAGGAATGTACAGAATATAAAGCCTGAGTAGTATA